TCTCTCTCTGTCTATGTAACGGAGAAAGCACCAGAGATAATATACATGAAGAGCAAACAAACAAACAACGAACGCGCCGCGAGAGAAACAGCAATAACCCAAAGCAATCACACGAGGCGCCACAAAAGGATTGGTTCGTTTGATACAATTAGCTTTCGGTTCTTACTCCAGTGGGATACAAATAGGCCTATCACCCTTTTGTGGGATGGTCCTCAATCTTGGTTCGTGGGCTCTTTTAGGGGAAAGGGAGAGTGTAAATTATCGGGTAGGCCTAGCCGGAGTGCCGTAAATACATTTGATTTCACGGTGATAAGATGGTTTAATTTGATTTATTGTCCTTTCATCGAGGGGGATTTATGAAGGATTTTTGAAATTAATTTGAAGGAAGACAGTTATTAGTAGTTCGACGCTGGAGATTTTTGATATTTTTTATTAGTTTAGATGAAGATTGATGTCGGTAGTTCGTCGCACCATTTCGAAAGAACCATTGTTCTCTCATTTTATTTGCTGCTCTCGAGAAAAAAAAAATCGTGTGGGACTTGTACGCGTCGTCGTAAAAAGACAGTTTATGATTTCGGTGTCATTGCTCTTAAAGGAGTAAATTTTAATTGGCCCTTCATTAGCATAATTGTAGGTTTTCGAGCGCGCATTAGTGAACGGAGGTCGCAAAGCCGATTTCGATTCGGCCGCCCGAACGCCGATTCTCGAACGAGGGAAAATGCCGCGGATTTATTGAATCGTGGAAGGAGAATATTGATGGATAGGAGGCCAAGGACGAGGGCGAGCGGTGGGTGGCGTGACGGACGTCTGCGGGAGGCGGCGGGCGGGAGGCGGCCCACCTCCGACCTCGCGACCTTGTGTGAGTGACAGCCGCTCCGAGAGAGATGTTACACCCGCGCGCGACAGATGGGACCGACCGACCGCCTTGGTGTGCGTGGGGAGAGGGGCATGGGAGGGATGGGGGGGTGGGTCGTCTCTTAGTAATTCATATCTCTTTCCCTCGGCCTTTCTGATTTGTTTGTCTGTTTTTTCTGTCCTTGTTCATCATATATGTTATTCATGACTTTCGTTGCTCCCTTTCTCGCTTTCTACCTCCTTCCCTCCATTCATCCATCGGATGTAAAGAAAGACATAGATAGCAAGAGCCCTCCTTTGTGCAAACCAGCTGAGAGAGAGAGAGAGAGAGAGAGAGAGAGAGAGAAGAGAGAAGAGAGAGAGAGAGAGAGAGATATGAGATGCAAATGACTTGTCTCGGGGGTCGTTGTCGAGAGGAGGAGGAGGAGGAGCGGGAGCAGCACCCCTTATTTGCGGTGCCCCGGCCAGGTCACATGCTCTCCAAGCCTCGGCGCATAGTCCGGGGGAGTGGGCGCATTCCTGCGGGATTTAATGGGTGGATTGGAAAAATGTAACGAGAAGGAAAAGAGAAACAATAGATTAACAAAGGACGCAGAAGCAGGTGCCTGCATATTTCTTGTGGTGGTCGCATACCATTCGGAGTTGGGAGAGAGAGAGAGAGAGAGAGAGAGAGAGAGAGAGAGAGAGAGAGAGAGAGAGAGAGAGAGAGAGAGAGAGAGAGAGAGAGAGAGAGAGAGAGAGAGAGAGAGAGAGAAGAGAGAGAGAGAGAGAGAGAGAAAGAAAGAAAGAAAGAAAGAAAGGATTCCTCGCGCAAAAAGGTCACGCCACAAGAAAGAGGAAGAAGAAGAAGAGTCGCCGAATGCAGGAAATCGCCCCGTAGTAAACCGCGACTTGCCAGATGCGTGTGATTACGGATTTTAAGGCCGCGTTATAACGAGGGAGCGATTGGACGCGGAAGATGAGTGTGGGACGGCGAAATGCGATGGGTACTGGGGTGGCCGGGGTTGGGGTGATGAAGGGTGGAGGGGTTGGGGATGCGGGGTTGGTCGTGATGAAGGGCGGTGGGGGTGAGGGTGGTGAGCGCGGTGGAGGTGGCGATCGTTTTAGTGAGCGGGGAGGGGAGGGGGGGGGGGGTCGAGAGTGAAGGGTGGATACGGCGCTGATAGTGGCTCTTTTTAAGTCGATTTTTTAGGGGATGTTGAAACAGCAGATGGAGTTTTTCTCTGTTGGTATTGTTTGGGAAATATTGTTTAATCTAACATTAAAGTAACAAATAGTATTTTCTGAATGTGCGAATTGCAAGCAGCTGGTGATGTCGATTTCACCTGAAAGAGGACAAAAGCCTTGAGTCGTTAGTTTGATTAATCATTGTTAACACACCTGCGCGAGCACGGGTGGGAGGAGGGGCGGGGGGGGGCAAGGGCAGGTGTTTTATTCATCCTTTCGTCCACGGCCGGCGCGAGGTGAATGAACGGCCATTGTTACACTGTGGGTTGTGTACCGGAGTTGTGTGCATAAACTGGGCAATTTTAGTGTTGAAAGGGAAGGAAAAGGGTTCGCTGATTGAGGGCGGAGCTGATGATCTTGATGAGCAGGCGAGTAGAATCCTCCCGCGTAGACATTTATTGCCCGTTTCTCGGCAAAAGACGGAAAACGCGTTAGGTTCGGATCCAGCTTTTTGTGGCACGCGAGCGGGTGAGCGGAACGGAGCGGGACCCGCCCGTGCACGCCCAAACACACACGCCCGCGTCACACGAAACGGCGGGCGGGCGGAAGTGTGTGTCGTCGGTGCAAAGTCCCCTTCCGGTGCTTCTGGCGAGCGGGGCGCCGACTCTGGCTGGCGGGCGGATCGCGGGCGGGTAGGCGTGCAGAACGAGGTGGATGAGGGTTGTTGCGATGCTCTGTGCTGTGGTGGTGACGAGGATGGGCGATGGATAGGGGTTGTCTGGGATGATCTAGAGGATAGGATGCAAGTAAAGACGGGTGGTGGATAAAACTGACACTGCTGTAACATTTAAATGACTTAATCTGAGTTTGTCAGGAGTATGACCTTAAAGAAAGGTTATTGTTCCTCTCGTCCTTCAGATGTAGTCAAGAGTGTGAACAGGAAAGTGGGCGTGGGTGTTTGCCCAGCAAAGAGGGGGCTAGGCGGGGCTGTCGAGCTTGGCCAGACACTCCCACGACGCCTCCCCGCGCGCCCGCTGCCCCGTCCTCCTTCCGGAGAGATCCCGACGGGCCAGCCGGCGTCCGCGTGCACTCGCAGGGCGCGAGGGACCACCTGTTACGAGGGCCTTGCGTCGCCTCGCTGTGCCTGTCTCCGACGCGTCACGTGACACCTCGTTAGCGTTACCTTTCGACCTCCTCGCGGCCGTCGGGACTGGGTCGGAGTCCTTCGCGTGGCTGGTGTACTTTTTACTCTTTTGCCTCAGCATCCTCTCTCCCCCTCAGAAGAGAAAGGTGTGAAGAAAGTAAAAAAAAAAATTAAATTAAATAAATAATAAAATAAAATAAAGGAACGCAAACGTGCTTCACTAGTCCTTCGTAGAAAAGCATGACAGGGGAAGGAAGGAAAAAGACGGAAGTAAGGAAGGGAGGAAGGAAGGAAGCGTTCATTCACAGGACGCTTGACGCACGGTGAGCCTCGCTTCGCTTCCGGTCGCTGTTCTTTCGCTTTTCTTTGTCCTGCTTGGCTCGGGTCGTGCTGCTTCGTGGTGCATTCTGATGGCTTTGCTGATGGCGACGCTGCTGTGTGGTGGAGATAGCGGTGTAAAGATGAAGGAGGAAATACTTAAAATGCAGTAAATTCAGTCGTATATAGTTTTCGTTTCGTAACAAATTACTTTTTTTTCAAAAACTGCATCCCGTAAAGCAAGCAAAAAATCTGAAATCTTAGGGAAGTACATGGCAAAAAGTGTGATCCTCAAGCACGCAAAATTTAAGCACAGCACCACCCAAGTAGGGGTAAGGGGAGGAGGGGGACGGGGGAGAGGGAGGGGGTGTAGGCGGGCTCCTAATCCAAGGCACTTACGCACAGACACGCACGAATGGCATGACAGCAAGAGCTTCATGGAGTGCTTTCGCGTGCCGTGTGTGTCCGAGCGCAAACCTCAGTCAGGTTAAGGGTGAAGTGTTGTGGAACGGCCGGTAGGACTGTCCTTGCGAGGCCGAACAGAAAGGCAGGGAGAGGGGATTAGGCGATTAGAATAAAGAAGAGAAAAAACAAACAGATTACACCGCTGGATGACATGAAAAACGGGATTCCAGCTACATCTGAATTATTTTACAAGTCGAGATATTTCTTAAGCGATTTTTATACCTTGAAAAAAGATTGGTATAACATTCGCTGTAAATATTTCACAGGATGTTTTCATTGTCATTTCATTGCTAAACAGACTAGTCTGAGAATTTCTGGCGCGGCTGTTAAGACTGTTAATGACCCGTTATTCACCCTCTTTAGGTCCTGCAGCCTTCCGTTATTAGCCGGTAAATCTGTAGGAAGTACTGGTTAACAATGTTAGCTTCTCTGTTTCCTGTGTGCGGTTAGCATTATGGGAGGTGTGTGTGGAAGGGCAAAGGGGCGTGGAAAGTGTGTCAGGACAGGTGAGAGTGGGTAATGACGGCGGCCAGGTGTGAGCCCCTCGCTATACCAGAGGCGTTTCGCGTATCGGTTCTCCACGCGACGCGCTCCAACGGCGGCCTGTGCTAGTGCAGTAAATTCTCATTAAACCACTCCATTATATTATATTTAATTTGGTCTGGAACTGATATCCTCTCTCTCCTCTTCCTTCTTTCTCCTCCTCGTCCCTTTCCAACTGATGACGTTCTTTGCCCCGTACGGCGTGTAGTAAGCCTACCAGCGGCCCCAGTGGCGGCGGGACACGCAGGAAGTGACGCCAGAAGTGGCCACTTTCGGGCGCTTGGGGACATACCGGTGCATGTCCCATCCGGTCTAAGCGTGAGGAAGGTCCTGGGTAGCTGAGTTAATGTTTTATTTCTTTCAAGTGGGTGTGGGTGCGGACGGCTTTTATGGGATAAGCGTTGTGCGTCTGGGGCCGCCGCGTGTGCGATGCCGATTAGGTTTGGTGCTGTGTATGATTATGTGTCCAATTTTGGAGATTAATGATGTGCTTTCTCCTCTTTCCCAGATCCTGCTGAAGGACATCGAGGCACACGGTCCAGTGTTGAAGAGCGTCCTGCGGCAGTACGAACGCATTGCCGCAGCCGCAGCCGCACCGCCACCACCACAGCCAGCAGCGGCAGACAGCGACCCTTCCACAGCCACCAAGGACCTTCCATCCACCTCTTCCTCCACCTCCACTTCCGCCTCCACCTCCAGAGCAACATCAGGACGCCGTAGCGGAAAGGACATCCCCAGGAAAGCTCGCTCCCTCGAGAAGCGCTGGCACCAGATCTACCTGCGCTCCCTCGAGTGGCACTACTACCTGGAGGGCGTCATCGCCAACTTTAAGGTAGGTGCCAGGACGTGTGAGAGAGAAGAGAGAGAGAGAGAGTGAGTGAGTGAGTGAGTGAGTGAGTGAGTGAGTGAGTGACTTATTCTGATAGTTTTAGAATTCGACACAAGAAAAATCCAGTCACGTCCCTTTACACAAGGCATGAAACGCCAACCAGTTCTTGTCGCAATCACACAAGAAAGTCCACCCCTACCCCCTCCTTCAGAAGAATTAACATAACCTCAAGACTCGCGATAGCAATAAAAGCAACACATAACTGGCCGTGCTTGTTCCCGCTTCCACACGCGACCGGCACGTGGCGAGGGGTATCCCGCGGCCACTCGATCCGGTACCCACCCGCCCACAAACCTGCAGGAGCGACACCCTTCTCGCCCAGACGCCGCCCTCCCCAAGCGCTCTTTTATTCTTTGCATTCACGCTCCCGCTCCCGCTTTCTCACGCCCATTCACATCTTTCCTTCATTCATACGCGCTAGGCAGGGGGTCGTGGCCTTCATGCATAAACACACGTGAGGGGGGATGTTGTTGTTTTCTTGTTGCGTGTGTTTGTTTGTTTGTTTGTTGTGCCTCTGTCTTGTTTGCTGAGTCGTCGGGGATTCTTTGATAAACAAAAGGGTGTGTCGAGCATTGGTAATTGGCGTTAGCGGGAGGAACAGGTTTGTTGTCTCCCGTGTGTCGGCCGGGGTTTAAGCGCCATTGAGTCGGGGAAGCGAACGGTACTCGGCTTCGTAAGGGAGCATCGCCTTCATCGTCTTTATTTGGGAGACTTATGGAGATGTAGATACATATGTGCATGTGTGTGTGTGTGTGTGTGTGTGTGTGTGTGTGTGTGTGTGTGTGTGTGTGTGTGTGTGTGTGTGTGTGTGTGTATATATGTATGTATGTGTATATATATATATATATATATATATTATATATTATATATTATATATATATATATATATCTGTATGTATATACACACAAACGCGCGCGCACACACACACACACATACACATACATGCAAACAAATATAGCCGATGCTCACAAGACCTTTGTAATGTAATAATGTTTATTCTCTGCCCACCCATTAAGAAGCGAAGGCCAGACCATCCTCATCAATTGGAAACCTGTGAAGGGCGAAAGACAAACGGTCTCTTTGTATCGCTCTTACGTTATATCCCGCACGTGCAAGGTGTTAGAAAATAATTGAACGAGTTAGTCAGGCTGTCTGGTAGTTTACGAGCTCTTGGCGACTCTTGAATCGACACCTTTTTTGGGCTTGTTCGCTGTTGTTTTGAAAGAATCTTTACTGAAGAACACTGCCATGGTAACAGAATAAACCATTTTTGCACGCCCGCCCTTTTCTTGCCGCCCCCTCGTTTGTTGTTTTCTCTTTCGCTTTCCGAACTATTTTTTTTCTCTTTGTTTTCTTTCCTCATTCACTCTTAGTAACTACGTCCTTGGAGAGAGAGAGAGAGAGAGAGAGAGAGAGAGAGAGAGAGAGAGAGAGAGAGAGAGAGAGAGAGAGAGAGAGAGAGAGAGAGAGAGAGAGAAGAGAGAGAGAGAGAGAGAGAGAGAGAGAGAGAGAGAGAGAGAGAGAGAGAGAGAGAGAGAGAGAGAGAGAGAGAGAGAGAGAGAGCGACGGGGAGATAGAGGGGAGGGGGAAGGGCATATACGTGTCTCGCGAGGTGAATGTAAACTTGTTTGAGATGAGAATGGCATTTTGGTTGTGAGTGTAGGTGACTCATGACGGAGTTTCCCTTTTCGTGCGACGGACAGAGGAATGGAGTGTATGATCAGAAAGAAAGAAAGAAAAAAAAGGTGGAAGAGAGAAGTGAAAAGTATAAATGTTTGAATAAACGGATGATAATGCGTGTATTGTTGACGTGATTGAATCTGCTTTTGGGGACGACATGAATATGAATGCGGTAGATAACATTGAGAGTGTTACGAGAGTCCTTGGTGGCTCGACAACAATTGATTATGCATTAGCGATACGACCACTTATAGAAACTTCACAAGTCACCTCATTATTTAGTTCGTTAACAAGCACTTCGGGGAAAAAGCTAGATAAGCCAATTAACGTAGCAAAGAGAGATCCCTGTTTTTTTTTTTTAGGCCTATGGATGTAGAATCTATCATCATTAGAGCCGATTTGGGCGAATTAAACCGTGTTCTTTCTCAGTCGGCGCTGAAGCCATTGTGCGGGACTCCAAATGACGGGGGGATAATGGCTCCATCCGTCACAGAGCCGCGTATGGCATCGGGTCCATTCACGTGGCTGGTGAAAATCCTTTTAATTGACTCCAGCGTAAAACAGGATAATTGGCGTAGGGGGGGGGAAGGAGGGGATTGGGGGAGGATGGGGGAGGTGGGGGGAAAGAATGGATGTTCTCTAGTCTCTCTCTCTCATGAATGTCGGCTCGGATCTTTGTTTCACTCTCTTCTCTCTCTCTCTCTCTCTCTCTCTCTCTCTCTCTCTCTCTCTCTCTCTCTCTCTCTCTCTCTCTCTCTCTCTCTCTCTCTCTCTCTCTCTCTCTCTCCTCTCTTCTCTCTACTCTATTATATATATCTATATCATATATATATATATATATAATATATATATATAATATATATTATATTTATATATATATGTATTTATATATACATATATATGCATATATACATATATATGTGTATATATATGTTTGTCTGTAAGTATCTATTTATCAATATTTCTTTTTCTTCATCCCTGTCTCTGTTCGCGGTAGGCCTGCAGAACATGTACCCTCGTATGCATATCCTCGGAAGCCTGATTAGTGTCTGCCACGTCACTCCTGTTGATGTTGACCTCTGGCGTTGGTCGTGCCCTTGCTGAGATTGCGTTTCCCGCTGCAAAACTGTTCGAAACTTTTCCGGACTCGCGCAAACGCAAAAATAGCATTGGATTCCTGTGGGTCATCCGGCCAGCAGAGGTCCGCTGGTCCTCGTTTCGGTTCCTTTGTGTGAGATGGCGTTTTCGTGTCGAGTTTGTGTCGTGGGTTCCCGTCGCCATTCGATAGACGATTAGATACTGTTGTCGTTGATGGCGTCTGGATCAGTCTTCGTGAGGATCGCTCTTTTTCTCTTTTTTTCCCGGCGTTCCTCATCCTCCTATTTTTTTCTCCTTTTCTTCGCTGCTCTTGTACTTACTTTATGGTTGTCTTAAGCTTTTGATTTCCACTTACTTGAGTCGTCCGTGTTCTTGCTGAGACGGTCGTCAGGTACCTTTAATTAGCCCTGAAGGCAGCTGGAGCGGTTCTTGAGTGCCTGTCATTAGCATTAGATGTACTTGTGATATTGTGATAACCAGGAGTGCCATCCATGACATCCGACGTATGGTTCAGCTGGCACTCGAACTCCTCCTTATCACGGGGAGATAAAAGAGCTCTTGGTACAGAAGGAGCCTCTTTGAAGGTGTGTGGCGTTGGCGTTGTGTACGTGGCTTGCGTGTAATTAAAGCGTGCAATGGCCGGGAATGCTGGCGACTGGGTTTAGTACGCTGTCCGTATGGCTCTTGATCGGCAACGCGTTTGTAGGTGGCGGATTTTAGAAGATGGATGGGGCTTATAATGGCGGGGTGCTAGTGGCGGGTGAAATAGGCGGTGATTCAGTTTTAGAGGTGGATGAGATGGGCTATTATGTAATTCTTGGGTGGATTAGGTGGGCGATGGTGTAATGTTTGAAGTGGATGAAGTAGGTGATGTAATTCTTGAGGTGGGTGAGACGGGTGACGGGCTGGTCATACCACACGTTTCTCGCCACGTGGTCGTGAGGAGGTCAGGCAGAGGCTAGCCGAGCGTCACGTTACTCTTGGGTGTGACCCCAGTTTCTCCTGTCCCTCGCCCTCTTCGTCCTGTTCCCAAATTTAGTCCGTCTATTTCATGCCCTGCCTTTATTCTTCATTTGTTGATTTCATCTTTGTATTCATCAGTACTAATCGGAGATGTAGAATATTAGGTTAAATGCGAGAAGGCTTCGAGATCTCCAGAGGAAAGGGATTCAGGGAGGATCTAGTCTCCAAGGGCTTCTGTATGGGTCTTATAGAGCTTCTGTGTATTCCTGGTCGGACGCCGGGGGAGCAGTGACCCCAGGGGGGACTAGGGGGACTTGGGGGACTTGATCTCTTGACTGGTGAATTCGACACCTCTCGCGATCATATTGTACCCGCCCATGCTAAACTTGGACAACGAAATTGCTTTTGAGACGCTGTTTTTCGTCTTCGATTTTATCTGCGTTTGCCCGATCTCAGCTTTTCACGAGAAACATTTTTGCCCCCTCGGTATTCCAGGGAACTCGGTTTCTCCCCACGCCAGACCGGCGCCGCGGAACTCCCGTGGTCAAAGAACTTTCGGTGATTAGTCATGGGCAGCGTAGAGAGCTATAAACTTCCTGGTATTTTCATGCCCGAATGGCGTACAGGTGGGTACAAAGGATGCCTTTTGCGTAATGCGTTTGTACCCTGCCTCAACGTTTAAGAGCTTTCATGTGTTCGCATGACCCCTTGGAGGTTTGCGCTTGTTGAAAGGTCAGCTGAAGGTAGACAGACGTTCAGGTATTTCTTTTCTGTTTATATAAGAGGGAAACTTTCTCATTTAGAGCTTTTGTGCTGTCAGGGAAAAATACGAAGAGACAAAAAGAAGTGTTGGTCATGAGAGGCTCGAGAAAGGATGTAGGACACCGTGGGACGTTAGTTAACACCGCATACTTTTTCGCTGACTTTTTTCTGCTTTACGCTGGACACGTGACTCCTTGGTGGACACTCCTGCTCACACCGGATACGGCGACGGACCCATCAGGACGATAGCGTAAAGTGATATCTGATATCCTTACCCATCCCTCTCTCCCTCTCCTCCCTCCCTCCCTCCCCCCTCCCTCCCGCTCCTCCTTCCCGTCCTCCCTCCTGTACCTCACCCCCTTCCTTCCTTCCCCCCAGCCGTGAGGAGCGACCTTCCCACGACCTCCTCTCCTCTCCTCTTTCTCTCTTCCCTTTTTTC